CGATATAGGTAAGATTTTTGTAAATAGCATGTCTAGTTAGCTCAATGGATAGGTATTTAAAAAACATTGGCTTCTGGAGTTTTTGAAGGGTGGATGTACTCGGAAGAAATCAATTCCATGCATCTGATATTCTTTCTTAATAAATCGGAATCATAACGCCACATCGACCTAAAACATGGCTCTCTTGTTAAGCGAGGATGCATTTGCACAGTACTTGAGTTTTTTGAGAAACCTCATTTTTTCCCCAGTTCTCTTATATTTAAAAAAAAAACGTAAGCCTTATCTGACAAGCCAATATATTAACACTTTGATTTTATTTCAAATTCAAATAATTCATAAGCCTACTTATCTAAAAACTTCATAAGGAGTCTAGTAGAAACACTTTTCTAGTGGCGTTTGTTTAGTCATCGTCTAGTTCTACCCAGTTTCAGCAGGTATGTCACTCTCTATTGGCTGTTAGAAATTCTAGAGGAGCGTGGTAGAATGATAGATGAACATGAATATTTCTGAGGTGATTCATTACCTAAACAGTTTATTTCACGAATTATTCAGAACGGGTTTTGTGAGAAAAGATTGAACTAATTTCGTCAAGTTATTGAGTTTGTTTAGCGTTTTGACTATTCTCATTAAGAAAATCCCTAATTTTGTATTGCTGTTAAATGACCACGAGAACTTAAAAAGGTGACTTTTCCTGTGAAATACGTTAAAACCTCACATATAATTCTTGAGGTCCTGTAACAAGCTATCTATCTAGAAAATATACGATATGCAAGCTCTAGCGCTTTTACGTGTTAGTTGCAAGTTAAATTCCCCTAAGTTCCTAACAATTTTTTATAGAACCAGTTTTCTTCTCTTCATTTTTTGAGGCTAAAACTTGATGAGCACTTTTGTTTTCAAGTATCTTCAGTGTTCTCTAAGTTGTAATGCACTTTTTCGTCACAGTACGTTTCGGTGAATCCAGATTCATTACCACGTAGTAAGAAATTACTTCTTGATGAATCTTGGCGGTAGGTTTTTTCTTTCTCTTTGTGCTCAGCGACGCGTTCCGTCCTCGAAGAACACACCACCGTCGATTGAACAATACTTCGGACAAACTCCACGTTCTCCCGGTGGTCCTGGTGGTCCAGGTTGTCCGGGACGTCCAGCATTTCCAGGGGCACCTGGATGTCCGTCTTGCCCTCGTGGTCCTTTCTCGCCAGGGGCTCCTTAAAAAATTAACTTTGCATATTGAGCAAAAAGGGAAAGAGAAGATGTTTCATCGCTCTTCTCTTTTCTCTGTCTGTCGCTTTAAGCTAAAGAGATATTCAGCTGGTTGAGGGTTGCCCTTGAGTAGTTCATTAAGTCGAGAACATGATTTTAGGTTAAACATTGAATATTTCTGTTAGCCCGAAATTAAAAAAAAATTTACCAAATGTTCGCAAATTTCTTGTAGCTATTTTGAATCTTGAGCGACCTTCAAAAGATCATTACTAAGTGCATTTAAGTTTTTTTAGAGCGATGAATGTGAGTGTGCGGAGCGCCTGCCTGCTAAAGAGATATTTTGTAGTAACTTGCGAGCAATTAGTAAAAGTTCAAGAACTATAATTTGTTTTGCCGATATTAGAAAAGTAAGGATCGAACCTGGTGCGCCGGGGTGACCCGGTGCTCCATTGGGTCCAGGAGGTCCTTGTGGCCCTGGCGGTCCTGGAGGTCCAGGTGGTCCGGGAACCAGCGGCTCCGAAGGTGCATTTTGTCCTGGCTGACCAGGTGCTCCGGGTGCTCCTGCTTTTCCTGGAGGTCCTGGTGGTCCTTTCGGTCCAGGAGGTCCAGGTTGGCCATCGTTTCCGGGAGCACCATTGTTTCCGGGAGCTCCTGGCTCACCAGGAGGACCAACAGGGCCTGGGGGACCTGGTCGTCCTGGTGGGCAAGGTTTGCATGGTGGAACTGGGATCGGTTCGCACGGCTGAACTGGAGGTCGTCCAGGTTTACCAGGGATTCCAGGTGCTCCCGGATTTCCTGGTCGTCCTGGATTTCCCGGCATTCCTGGTGGTCCTGCCTCTCCTCCCGTACAACAGGCTGAGCAGTCGCCATATGCATAGTGTTGACGTGCTTGACGTGCAGTCCTATTTGCTTGTTTTTGAATTGTCTTCAGTTGTCCAACTTCCGACCAAATATCACGAGCAGAGTCCTTCAAGCATTTTTTTAAGAAAAAAAACTAATTTGCATTGGAAAATCCGAAGAAGTGCTAAGGCTAAGACACCAACCTTGCAGAAGTTCACCTCATTATGCATTTGTCGTTTCACATGATGTACATAATTGTAAACCATTGGCAGTGTAGTGCATACTGAAATGACGGCGACGACAGAAAAAGTAACCGCGGAATAGGTAACGAAGCGATAGGCTCTTATACGATGTTCCAGATTCATCTGCCGTTGGGAGTCAGTGCGTTTGAGGCGCGCACTCTGAAGTGCTGTGCCGCTATGACAGCCTTTTATATGACTATCTTTGCCGTTTTTATTTCGTTGGCTGTCGTGATCGTCTCACTCGTCTAAGACGCTCCCTCTCTTTGCTCTGCAAAACGTTCTTCATCACACACATACCAATTGCGGTTGCTTAGTGCTAAAAGGATTGCCGCAAGTTTAAAACAAAGTTCGTTGTTGGGAGGGCGATCAAGTACGCATGAGTATGTTGATTAGTGGTTTGGTAAGATTACTCAAAGGTCAAGCAAAAAAACCATTCTCTGTTTGATGCCAAAAGCAAACTTCTCATGTGATGAGCTTGTCGTGGCACAAACAGTAAGTAATCGAAACGTCTAGCTTATTTCTAACTAATTTTGCCAGCAGTTCATAAAGGATCCTATTCGCTAACCCAAGAGCGACGAAATCTGTTCTTTCTATTCTTTTCGTATAATTGATTTTACATGAATCACATGTGATGAAATTGAAAACGTTACTTCCACTCCGATCTAATTCATTTTGTATTTGCACTTGTTCTAGTCATAATCAGC